TGCGAAATGCGCTTTGACAACATTTGTCATTGATTTGGAAGAGTTGCTCGGATGGGTTGTTCGGTTAGCCCCAAAAGCCTGATTGGCGGCAGATTCAAGATTATACCGAAGCGCTTTGTCCAAAGAAAATGTCGATAAGCATCGTTAAAGCACAGCTAAGCACTTGTCAACTTACAATAGAATTTAAATATATTGAATTCTGTCTACAGCCTGATGGACATGTTAAAAGAATTTAAACATATTGAATTCTGCTTGACCAAGTTAAGCCAAAGTTCTTTCAGTGAGTAGTAGCTAGCTGCTAAGCAAATTTTATCCCAAAACAATGCTCAAATAGTTGGCATTGCGGTTCAATTAATTTAACCTTCATGTTAAATTTATAAGTTGCTTGCAAGTAAAATATAAATCTAATCACACTCGGTAAACCCCTTCTTCTAGTAATATATAATTTCTTTAGATAAAAATCTTTTCTTAATTCCCTTAGAAGACAGAAATAAAAACTATATTGTAAACATATCTTTTAAACTCCAGTTAAACTTGAGATAAATGGCTATGAAAGTAAACTTGTCTATCTTATTTTTATCTGACAAAATACGCTTCTGACCAGAGATCATTTTTAAGCAGTTTAGAGATCATCTTTAAAGCTTTGCTCAATTTTTGAGACTTCCTTTTAGATAGCAAATACTACGAAAACTTCAGCTGGATTTGTTGAGAAAATAGAACCCATTAAATATGCGTATAATCACAATTGGGCGCGCCCATAATCAGCCAGCAATTGTCTACAATAGCAGCTGGAGGTACGAAGGAAGAGAGAGTTTGAGTTGGGCGGGGTTGGGTTGGGTTGTGCTGGAGTCTTAGCCTGCTAAGGCATGCGGCAGGTGATCACAAGTGATCATCAGCAGAGTTTTCGAGCTGCGTCATTGATGGACTGCAATTGTGGTGCTCGTCACGTACGCCCGGACACAACAAAAGGCCGCCTGATGATCGGGAATGAAACTACGAGTGCGACCAGGGCCTAGACCAGACCAGAGTCTAGAGATGACGTTCGACAATTGAGCGCTAATTATCGCCTTGGACAACAGCAACAACAACAACAACAACAACAGCAGCAGAAGCATCAGCAGCAGCTACAGATCTACCTGGTCAGCGTGTGTCAAAGGCATTCCTGGCAGGCGTGAATTGAATTCCCCGCTGGTGATGAATGGGTCCGGGGGCAGTGGCTCGACACTGGTAACTACTTCATTTAGCTGTGGATGGGTACGCGGATTTGATGTATAGCGCTTGCTAAATTAAACTTGCGCGCAGAATGAATTGCAGGAATGCGAGGCGACGTCTTTCGACTTTGGAATTACCTGGAATTACCTGGTACTGTGGCGATTAAGTGTTTAGCTCATTAGCCTCAACAATGCGTTGGTATTTGGGTTAGCTACCCACCAGCATTGTTGCCGCCTCATGCAACTAACGGTAACGATCTGAACTTTGCTGCAAGAAAATCAAAGAAAAACCAATTAGGGAAAACTGCTGAAGATGAAGTGGAGCTAAACTTATTTCAGCTCAGACATTTTTTCAGATATTGCAAAACTTTGAGATATTTAGTAGAGGATTAGGTCTAACAACTCCCTCCACGAGGTTTTGTAACGAATCTTTTGAGGATCATTGCCTTATTTCGTTTAGATTTAGAGATATAATATATATATTAGCAAAGCTCACAAAGGTAGTTTTTACTATTTGTCTGTCCGGGCTGGACAATTGTCTTGGCTATCTGGTGATCACAGTGCAGGCATCGATTTATCAAGAGTCCTGTCTCTCACTAGTCGGAGACAACTGCTGAAATGCAGCTCCCTCAAATTGGCGACAAATGCCGCATTGGCCAACTGTCTGGCAATCAATTTCGACTGTTAACACTTTATCAATATCTTTGGCGGCTTAGGAGGCGGGTTGGTTGACTGAACGGCATCAAAGTGAATCACCGCCGTCAGATAATAATAAAATAAAAAAATAAAAAAAATTACAGGTGCCAATGAAGAGTCCAGGTAGTCGAGGAGTCGACAGCCGCGGGTCTTCGATCTTCACTATTCAGTCGCTTTGGCCGTCGTCTCGGCAAGATCAGAGTCGGAGCGTGGCTGAGATAGTGGATCGCCGTTTGGCTCCACCTTTTTGTTGCTGCGGCCTGCCGCCAGCGTTTCTCCTCTTAATTGACGCCTTGATTTGCAGCCGATTCGTTGCAGCACATTTTACAGCCTCTTCGCTGTCCACTTCGCTCTTCATGCACATTTTATACGGAGTTTTTTCAATCAAATGTTTTCCATTCTTGCAAACTATTTTTAATTTGTTTCTATTTCTATCATATCTCTTTTTTTATTTACTCAATTAACCCACTTAAGAACTAAATTGTATTAATAACTCGCCCTGTTGTGTTTATCGTTGTCTTCGGGTGCTTATATGGGTAAACGTTCCGCTGATGCTCAACGGGCAGTCGTGGCCGAGCGGTTAAGGCGTCTGACTAGAAATCAGATTCCCTCTGGGAGCGTAGGTTCGAATCCTACCGACTGCGAATGGCAAAGCACTATTTTTTTTATTTGTGCATTTACTTTAAATATTTTTAAAACGCAAATTTTGATTTTGGAATATGTTTGGATAATTTCTTAAAAGAAACAATAATTGTATGATATAAAACATCCGATTATCATTCGCTTTATTCCGTTTTTAAAAATTACAATTGATTGCTTACAAAATTATAAAGAAATAATTATGTAGATTTATGTACATAAGTATATGTATATATCCGTCAGATTTACTTTAAACCTATTAAATAATTAATGCGTTTGACATTGATTATGAATCTCTTTCTTTCTCTCTCTCTCTCTTTCTCTCTCTCTCTCTCTCTCTCTCTCTCTCTCTGTCGTATATGATTTCTTTTTCTTGTCTTTTACTCATTCTTATCGACTTTTTTATTCCATTTTTTACAGTGTGTGAAAAATAGGCTGTTTCTTTTCTTCTGATAGAAGACACCGGGCGATTTTGTGTGAATTTGTAAGGTAAGTGCACATTTATTTAAATATAAATAAGAATATATATTACGGCAATTAAAACCTATGCGCGGATTATCCTTTTATTATTTTTTACTTTATTATCTACTTTATTATCCTATTACTAAAAATGTATATTTCTACATAATTTAACTTGAAATGACTTTCTCAATGCGCTCGACAATTTGATGGGTCTATTTGTTTGATTCCTATGGAGCATTCCAATCTCTTCATTCTTGAAATACCAGACTTAGCACGTACCACACGCCATTTGAGGCTATTTACGCTGCCATCAGTTTTAGGATAACAATCTGTGGGCAATCTATAATTAGGCTCATTAGCATTTAAATAAATTGATTAACCCATCCGAAGGCCTTGGCGGATGCAGTCACTCTTGGCGGAAAGGCGGGGTCGGAGAGGCGAAGTCCAAGTCCAAGTCCAAGTCCAAGTCTAACTTCAGTCACAGTTCCAGCTGCGAGTTATGTAATTACAAAGCTGGAATCCCAATGCTGCTCAAATTGGCTTCACGCGTTGCACAAGTGGCAACTGTCCGAGGCGCAGGCATGCTGCCACATGCTGCACAATAATCAACGATGGTAGGCAGCAGACACACAGAGAAGCCTCTAATTAAAAATAACAGAAAAATATAGGTTACACCTCGACAAAGACCGTTGCATGGTGAGCACTCACGAAGGAGCAGCAGGAGGAGGCGGGCAGGCGCATGAGGGGCAGGCAATGCCCAACCAAGAAGCCAAGTAATGGGAAACATTTTCATCAAAGCAAATACGCAACGGGGCACAGGGAGGCGAAAAAGGGGGAAGGCTCAGTCTCTCAAGTGGGTACGGTGGCACTGTGGCACGGTGGTACGGAGTTACTGGAGTCTGTGGGCTGGGCAAGTGGCACTTATCATGCATGCGCCAAGCGAAAGAAGCGGCAAGCAGCGAGAAGCACACAAAAATTAATGGGCTGTAATTACGTGCTGCAGTTGCACGGCGAAGCCAGCAACTGGCAAAGGAATGCCCCAACCGAGACGACAACGACAACGTCTTCAGTCTCGAGTTCCATGTCCGTTGTCTTTTATAGAAAATTAAAGCCTAAATTTGCTTGTGCAAAATTTACGATGTGTTTACGATGTCTTAAATTATTGGTTACTCTAATGCGTGGCAGCAACGCGAACTTCATTTACTCGCACTCGTTCTCTTGTAGACTTCTTTACGCACAGCTGACAATGTGGATATACCCTCAAATTAGAAATCATGCTGCAGAAAAACCAACAATAAACGCTGACATTCTTCGCTCTCTATCAAAGATATTCTTCGGAGCCTCTCTCTATTGGCTACGGCATCTCAAGTCCCAGTAGCACATGGCTATTGGGAATCTCTTTGATTTGTTACTAATACCAGATGTATACAAATTTATTTCGTACTGAGTACTTCCTCTCTTTTGCAACACTGCTGCTATTACGTTAGTGATGTCAGTCCGAGATGAACATCGATTTGTTTTATCGATAAACAAATTGCCAAGCAAAAATCGATGCTTCGATATATATGGGAATGGTTGCTATGTATAAATTGAGTTTGCTTAGGAATATTAATTTCGAAATCCTTTTTTTTACTACCTGATCCCCGATCCTTGATGTGAATTTAAGTCTAGAGTTTTTGCAGATAATGGGTATAAATGGGAACTAGTCGTTTGTACCGTATGCATAGGTTCGATTTTTTAAAGCTTCTGTTTGCCGATTTGAACAGCTAACAGGCTCTCCTTGATATGGTTTGGGAGTTCCATGGGTATCTACAGTTGTTGGGTATCTACTTAAAATCGTTTAAAATAGCATTGACAAAGAGCGAAGATCGATATTTCGATATATTTGGATACAAAACTCTCCATCACAATTGCTCTGACATTGCTAACAGAATTCTCCGCGTTTTACGTCAATCAAAGTTTGTGCTATTCATTTAAACTCGTGCAGCAGGCGCAGTTTGAATTGGATTCTCTGAAAAAACAAACCTTAAAATTAATTCTCCAAATTTTGATATCATGGAAAAAGAAATGCCCACCTTTATAAATAACAGCATTGAACAACAATCCGAAAGCCCGGACAATGCAATTGCGAGCAAGAACAGCGATCTTGGCCGTTTAAGGAGCACCACCAACAATTTGAACCCACCTACGCAGCTGCCTTTGGGCAAGGGCGAAGAATTCGTCAGACAGAGCAGAGACGAGCTGTGTATTGAGCAGAGCTCCGGGGCCACGGGAGTGCAACATAGGGGCATACTAATAGAGGTATAAGCACGTAACTTCGAATATGCATATTTAAGCTGTTCCGAACGTAACTTGCAGCAAGGAATCGCAGAATATTCCCATTCGGAAGATCGTAGTGCGGAGCTAATTGGTGACTGCGGGAAGGAAACGGTTGAACAGGCGCGTGACGAATTGGTTGATATACTGAGCTTGGATTCCAGCTATGCCCATGTGAAGGGTATACTAATAGAGGTCTGTGCGGGTTTCAGTAGGTCTAGTTAACGCTGAAAATAATAGAATATTTGCAGAAGGGCATAATGCAAGAGTCTAGTTCTGATGCCGAGCGGCAAGTCGATTATTTTACCGAAGAAGAAGCAAAGGAGGTGAAGACCATAGAAATAAGTACAGATGAGGAATTCATAAGGTTGTTGAGCAGCGATATCAAGACATCCCTTGCAGAGGAAATGTATATGGAAAATGAATTGGAGGAGTACATTCTCAAAAAACTGAAGCCCCAAAAAGAGATCCCCGATGAAATAGCTGCCATGAACAAGTTCATAAAAGAGTTCACTCTGCGCATCGACAGCCATCCCGGCATGAAGGAATGGGAGAAGTTCAACTCTTGTATCGAAAAGGTCCATCAATACTACATGAGCCTCGACTACCCAATGTTCACCAAAGACGATAACGGTGTACAGGGTAATCTGGATAACCAGACGGAACACAAGAACGTGGATGTCTGTCAGGGTCTTACGCAAGTCGAGGCCGACATCGAGAAAATGATGGAGCCATTAAATGAGCTCATCCTGCGATCCGAAAAACTTACCCATAGTATTGAGGGCATCGAAAAGAAAATCACCAAGTTGGATACAAAAGTGGACAGCTTCAATATAAAGTATAATGATACGCTCGCCAATAGGGAGAAGTCCTATGAGGATATGATGGCGCTGCAGTCAATGCGCGAAAGGATCGGACAGAGACTCACGCGGATCGAAACGGAAATTCACACATCCAAAACTCGACTACTTCAGGGTCACACGGAAAATAAATAGGGCTTGTTTGTAAAATGATGGGTTCCCTTCAAGCATCGGAACGTACTCTGGGTAGCTTATTTTTTTTTCTGCTTTCTCAACTTACCAATTACACTTATGAGCGCCATTCCGAATGCAATTACCCTGATTATGGACCTTGTTATGGCACTTTGCATACGTAATTATGTTCAGTGGTAAAGTCATAAGCTGTGGGCAACTCAAATTCTGTGTATGTCTTCAACTATTACCCGGCAAACGTCAAGAAATAAATATCCAAATGTACAATATTAAGCGGCAATTCTTCTCTTGTTTTGGGACTGGCCTGGGAATCCTCTCCTAAATAGGTATTGTCTGTCTTATGTCAATGCTGTCCAGTTAGAGAAGCCAGGTTAATGGGTTTAAAGAAACTGGCACATTGATCTTCCATGTGATGCTATACTTCCTATATCCGGAGTACTAATTAGAACTGCGTAAAAGTGCACATCTAAGGTATATATACTCAATCGACGATGTTATGTTCGTTTGTATGTTCGTCTCTTTAAGAGCTATGGAGCCGTAGATCGTTGCTTTTATATATTATATATATTTTTATTATTTATTTTCACATGTCGGCATATCTCGGAACTTGTAGTAGAAGGAAACACAAATTTTAGTGCAAGGTTTCTCGTATAGTAACACCGAATACCTCACCCCTCCGCCTAAAACTTGATAATTTACTTTTCAATGAATTTTCTTGGCCCTTGGTATACACACACTTTGGCATGCGATCTATAATTCTTGAAAATTTCGTAAAGATCGGCCTATTAATACCAAAGTTATTTCTGATAGTTAAGAAAGCATCGATACATCAGCTTATCGATGTTCTCCAGAAACCATTATTATCGATATATAACTATCGACATTTTAATTAGCATATTTATAAGAAAAATCCGTGTATCGATATCGAATATTCCGATACATGTATGTATCGAAATTGTTAATCGATATTGTTAATCAATATTCATTTTGAGCGCAATTGAAGTTAAACTAGAGTAGTTCTGAATATACACACGTTATACAAAAAGTTGAAATTAAAATAGTTCGTTTTGAACAAAGTTGGCTGCGTAACCAAACTACGATACGTTATATGCCTGATTTGTTAGTCGATTTTTGTTTGCCCGTCGTAGAATACCTCCAAATTTGTTTGTCTACTGTTTTTTCTTTCGTGTTTTTTTGTTCTTGTCCTGGAGCCAGTATCGGCTCGTGCTAACCGTAGCAGATACTTGCAACAAGCAGTTGCTTCGATATGTTGCCTTGCAGCAAAAATTTTGTACGTGAAATCCTGACTGGCGATTTGTATTCAAACACGAATTCCACGCGCTGGTGTGGAGCAGATCGCCCCAAGTTCAAGCCACTGCGCGCCCATCTGCCAAAACATGCTGCCCCACAAAGGCTGGGCACACATGAGTATCGCCGCTATCATAAGGGAGTTGGAGTTCGGAAAAGCCTCGACGGGTCGTTGTGAGTCCATGACGTGGCTGATGGCACAGCAGAGTCTGCCGATCTGGAGCAGGCGACTTTCTCGCAAGCTGGAGGGTGCGGGACGGCTCCAGAGTAACAGCAAGTGGTTCCAGTTCGACGTCGAGGTCAATGAGCGCCTCTGGTCGCTCTGGGGTGGACTGCATCCGCGCTCCACCTGGTTTGACGGCCAGACGAGAGGCCACCAGACGCTGGCCTGCTGTGTGGTTGCCTGCTGTGCGGCCAGCGTGTTCCGCAGCCTGGGCGAGTGGACGTCCAAGTTTCTGGACGCCATTGTCATCAACGGGGACAAATACTATCGCAAGAGCCTCCTCAATAGCCGCAGCAACAAAAAGTCGATCGGCTTGAACGATTTGGCACTGGAGTGCGACTTCCAGGACATAGGCTTCATGGTCCAGCTGCAGTTGGTGGCCTTTGGCCAGCTCTACAGTTCCCCCGCCAGCAATATTATGGGTCTCTACGAGGCGCTCAATTACTTCTTCACCCGCTCCCAATGGGGCATACTTGTATGCCAGCATCGATATATAGCATTCGGGTATTCCTCAAGCCGGGACGGTGGCTATTTTCTCTACGACTGCACCGAGTGGGATCGTCCACTTTTTCCCGACAACATGGGCGCCTCCTATGTCCTGCGTGCCAAGCAGCTGCTGATGCTTCTCTACTGCATTGTGGTGACCCTCAATGTACGGAAACCTTACGTCGAATTTCAACTTTACAGCGTGGAAGCGAATCGCATAATGGAGATCCGCTCAGACGAAGAACCGAGGCAGTAGTATTGTCACAATGTTTAAAAGCATTTTCGTGGTGGGCAAATAAAAAAAATAAGACAAATACGTTTTGCTTGGGTTGAGCTCCAGAAAGAGTAAAAAGATGGACAAAATTCTCAAAGTACCCAACTTACAGCTTCTTCAATTTCAGTTAACCACTTTACAAAGCTCCATGAAGGAACTACAGAATATAGTAAGAGGTTCTTGGATGTGCACCTAATGAAGTATTCTGCTTTTGAGCCTATTTTATTATCTCATCGATACTTTCTTCTAGATGGAAGAACTTGATTCAGTTGTCCGTTTTGTAATTAAGGAATATACGAATAGCTCTGTTGCCTAGTTCTTCCAATTGGTAACCTTTTCCGGAAAAGAGCAGATGTGACCTTATTCGATGCTTTTAGATTGAATATACGGATAGCTAGTTCTCCTTGTCTCATGTTTGATACTTTCTAATATATGGAAGGATTTAATTCCTTCTCAGATGTTCTTCATGGAGCGGAAAAAGTAAAAGGTTCTTAGATGTGAACCTGATTAAGTTTTTGAAAATCCCTTATGGACCTAACTTTTAATTAATTCCCCGACAACTCCTTGTTCCTAGTATCCAACTGCCTGGCTGCTCCAATTGTTTTATTCTTTTCCGGAACATACTCAAATGTGCAAATCCTTGAGAGAGACGTTCCCCTCAAAGCAAACACTTTTAATGACTGCCAAAGGAGTTTAACTATTATAAAGGACCAATGGACACACGCAAGGTAAGCTCCTGCGGGGCTTCTACTAAGGTTCAAAGAGTTTAGCAGAGGGCGGGTTCCATTCATGTTTATCTTACGCTTTCATTCATATCATTTCTTGAGGCAAGTACGCCAAGTGTCCAGAAAGGCTGTGTTCCTAAAATGTAACCATTAGATAATCAAAATAGCTCGCATTCAGCTCCCAAGTCATTCAAGAAATTCCTGGCTCGATGGCCAGGAAAACCAGTTTCATTTCAAAACCAAAACAAAGTTATTTTGATTTTCGTTTATTTTTTTTTTGGCCAGCTTCCAGTAAAAGGCAAAATAAAAAACTCGTCTACTACGCAAGTATGCAAAATACTACACGGAAACGGTGAATCAGGTAACAAAATAAATAAAAATAAAAATTAAAACCAAATTGCAGCAAGAACAAAATACACCAAAATAAGGTGAAATACAATAAAACTGCATTCCAAAAACTCAGTCAAATGTAAAAAAAGAACAAAAATGAACAAGACAAAAGTTCTAAAAAAAAAAAAACCGAGAGAAAAAACCAATAAGAAATCCGGTTTCGTTTTCAACCAGAACGAGAGTTGTGAGTTTGGAAGGTTGCGACGCGCTGCTCGTTTTGCTCGTAATTCTGCGCTTGCCCATAAAACGGGCCACAGGATGGATGCAGAAATTCACCGACTGTTGAGCGGGTTGTGTGGATGGGTCGGGTCGGGGAGGGCGTGCGGTGTGCGGTGCGGGGCGGGGTTGTTTTGAAGTGCTGTTATGAAGAGGGCTAACCGAACGAAGTTGGCCAAAAAGTGCAAAAGGCAGCCAACTCTCTGATAAATTGCAGGAGACGAACTTGAAATTTAGATTTCGAGAGCAACCGCAAAATGTTGCCAGAACGTCAACAGCGGCAGCGGCACTGGCGCAGCGTCGACGCCGCAGTTGCAGAGCGCAGCGACTGCACGCGAGCGAACGAGTTGAGAGCATATATTGATGGTAAATATAACTGCAGCTTGGGGGCGTTTAAGCGTGTATTGGTGAGCATCAGCGTAAGAGAGAATAAGCGACACGGACAGGGAGAGAGAAAGAGAGAGAGAGCGCCAACTCGTTGGAGCAGTGGCTGCTGCGTCCATGGAGTTTCTTTTATGCATACAAAAACACAGACACACGCACACTGCCAAATAGTATTGCAGTTTTTATTGGCATTGTAAATGGTTGTGTGCGTTTGTGCGTGTGTGTGTGCAAAGGGTTGAGTGTCTATGCTGTGTCTGTGTTTTGTTGCATTGGTAGTAGTTGCAGCGCCATGCTTGTGTCTGTGTGTTTTCGTGTGAGTTGTGAGCAGGAGCATTTTATTGATTTTTGTGAAGACTAAAAAGTATCGCATGCGATTAAGTTTTTGGCAATGATAAAAAGTGGGGTAGACCGAAGTGGAAGTGCTGCGAAACAGTCAGTACCAAAACCAACTACTGTTAATTAAAGTTATAAGCTAGAAGTTTATTTACAAATTTGCATAGCACAAAGGTTGCCATAAACAACATTTGCCTGCATATTTTCAACGCCCGCATTTAATTCTCTCTCTTTTCCACTTACCCACTCTCTCATATACTGCGGACAGCTGCCAAAAGTGCAGCCGAAATATTCTTATAGCGCACATACAGAAGCTGCTCTGCAGATAACTTTAGTGCGTGCTCTCTCGCACTCTCCTTCGCACACACGCACAAAGTAAACGCATATTCCCAACACTTGCAATCAAGTCTAGATAAACTTTTGTGCAAAGTTTGCAAAAAGCTTTGAGAAAAACTTAAGTATGTAAACGCCATCAATTCGCACCTTAAGCCATGTCAATTGGGCTTTCCAATGCGCGAAGTTAAAAAAGATTTACTTAGCAAACTTATCGCAACCTTTTGGCCCACAAATCCCACCACGTTCCACTCGCCGGCACTTAACTGACCAACTAAACTTGGCGAAACAGCGAGCGACCCGCAGCCAAAAGCCAATGAATAGCCCAGCGGGCAAATGCAAAAATGGAATGCAAAAAACTCAAAGATGCACAGCAAACGAAGTTCGAGGTCATTGCATTACACACACACACACACGCACACAAACACACACAGACAGACAGACACAAACTCAAACTTACACACACAACTACAAATAAATAAAACAACAAATGAATTGAGCCCCTCGCAACACTCTCGTGCCTCATATCTGCGAAAAGTGGGAGCTGAAAAAGTTCAAGTCAAAATTGCAAATAAAGTAAATGGAGATGACTAAAAAAGTGAAATCCACAAAAAACGACCACGACAGCAACAACAGCAACAGCAACAGCAACAACAACAGTAACAAAAACAGTAACAACGGCCAACTGCAGTTTGTGGAGCTTTTATTGTTGTTGCTGATGCAGTGCTCACTGCTGCTGCTATTGCCGCTGCCCGTGGGGGAGTAAGCGGCGCAACGGCTGCCATTTGGCACAAAAGAGAGAAAAAATCGTGCACAAAAAAAACTATGTATTCGGCGAATGACACACAAAACAAGTAAGAAGCTTAAGGGAGCAGTGCTCGAAGAGGATCTACCCTGTAGCAAAAGAAACTTTATTTTGAATTAGGGTCGATTAAGAGTTAAGCGCGGCCTAATAATTATGTACATACAAGTATATTTTGATTTAATTTAAGAACATTTGTGAAAGCATTTCAATTCAATATGTCATGACCTGTGTACACATCTAGCTAGTTACAGGGTATACAAAGGCACAGCAGCAAAAACAGCAAAGCAAGAAGACTAATGATACCGTTCAAGGATACTTCGCTCTATGCTTGTGCTTTGCATTGCCAGCAAACGAGCAGCAACAAAAAAAATGCTTTCATTAAGTATTCGTGAATTGAGGGGCAAGGAAAACCTAATAAACTGAGGGAAAGGAATTCCTATTAAATTAAGGGCGGCTAAAAAAATGGTAATTTTAAATAATTCAAATAGCGAACAAAAGATAAAAACAATTCATAGGCCGATTAAGAAGCTTTTCTTTATATTGATAAATCCTTTAAAACAACCTTGAATTTTAGTTCGACCTCAATTTATATAATCAAAAAATTGTCTTAAAGATTAAATATTAAATACATTTGACAAGCATCCTAAAAATTTTTAACTAAAATAAAAAAATCTATATAAAATTTGAACAAAACTAGGTATTCATATCATGATATTTGATATGATATCAGTCTGGAAGTTTCATTAAATCGCTAAAAAAAGAAAATACCAAAACAGATCGCTTTATGTTGTGTATAAAAAGTTTTGCTTGAGTTTTCCACCTACTTTTCTCCCCTCTAAATTGAGCCAAAGCTAGCCCCGAAATTGGAATGTGGAACAACTTAAATTAAAGCTGTAACAACTCCCTACTATCATTATTGCATGCATCTACTATCTGCTATTGCCCCGCCTAGTCTCGGCTAGAGCACTGCCCCCACACCACACCACACACACACATACGCACATACACACACTCACACCTAGATTTTAATGACTAAGCGTCGCCTTTACAGCTACTGCTTAACGACCAGAGGCAGTCTGTTGCCTCCGCAGCCCCCCCCCCCCCCCCCCCCCCCCTTATCAGACACCTACGAATTGTTTTTAACGAGCCCAGACGTTAGGCCTACCAGCTCCCCCTCACGCCCCCTAAGTCGCCCAGAGGTTCCACAGGAAAAATGCTCAAAATGTTGTCTGCGTAGGCGTAAACGCTTCCACCGACTAGCCCCACACCCTGCTCCCCGCGTCTGCTCCACCCCTGCCCGCCGACTCGGTAACTGGTCAGTCAGCACTTCGAAGCTCCAACTGGAAACCAACTGCCAACTGACTGACTCACTTAATGACTGAGCGGCGAAGCGTGCCCCGAAACGGCAGCAGTTACTCCTGGTATTGCCTTAGCTCCACCTCTACCCTCCCAATCACCCCACCCCAGCCCCACCACTCCCCCGCCAAGCGGCTTAATGACGCATGCTTGCGAATTTTGCATTCAGTTCGTGTTTAGCTTTGTGGTTTTGCCTTTTGCCTTTTTCCCTGACTGTTTTTTCAACTCCACACAAAGAGCTGGCTGCAGCACAAAAGCAGAGCCAAAACCCGAACTGACTTCTTATACCCATTAATCGGAAGGGCTAGCAGGTAGCATTAAAATATGCAACTGCATGTAACAGGCTAGAGAAGCCATCAATAGATTTGCGTTTTTATACCCTGAACCCATTAAAAATGGGTATATCCGATAATCGATAACTTACTCCGTTTCCAAGCAATCGATAAAAATCGATATCGATATCCTCTTTTTTGGGCAATTTTGGTAAATAATAAGAGCTAGAGTCACCAAAATTGACATATAGCTTCTAAAATAGAATATATATATGCATTTGATGTTGGAAGAAGAGGGTTCAGGGTATCCCCTAGTCGGGAGCTCCCGACTAGAACCTCTTGTTTTGTTTTAAAAATGTTGGATATCTCATGTTGATTAAGCCAAGCTTAAACAGAACTTTAAGAGATAAGTGTAAAATGTTTGGAATCAGCTAACTATTTTTCAAATTTAAAAGCTATCTCTGAATAAATAGAGTAGTTCATTAGATTTTTTCACGTATCTTTTTAATCGGTTGAAAAATTGAAAAAGTGCTGTTAGTAAGCGAAAAGGTTTAACAATAATTCAAGGGTCTTTAAACACAAGAGCTTAAAGTGCGCTTTACTGATTGCAGGGTATTTACACCGTCGTGTACTCTGGACAACTGACTCGCTTTGTGTGTGAAATTCTTTTTTGTATGAGTTTGCGTTCGTATTGTTTTCATTTTGATGAATGCGACGCTTCGAGTTGGCATAAAAAAAGCGCAAGTGATTCTCAAGGCGAGCTGCAAGGGAAAGGGTACACGGCGGCGGTGTGCGTCTATGGGCAACTACTGCTTCATAATTGTGAGCCGCAAGTCGTTCACATTGTTGCATGCTAAGTAGCTTCGAGAGCCGCGCACAACCCACACACATACACACTCAAAAGTACACCCCACACACACACACACACACACACACACACACACACACACACATACATACGTACGTTGCTCAGACAGAGACGTCGTTTTATTGCTTGGCAGGGAGCCCGGCATAACCGACAAGGTCTCTAATATGTGGATATGGGTCGTCATCGTCGACAAAGTCAACGAGTTGGCGTCGTCATCGTCATTTGCATCTCGTTTCGTATGTGTGTGTGTGTGTGTGTGTTGTGTGTACTTTTCTTATTTCTTCGCATTTCTGTTTTGTTGCGCACATTTCTGTTTGGTATTTTCAACCATATCCTGCCCGTTCCTACCCTGCCCTGCCCCAATGTCAAAACGCAGCAGTCGCATCTTTGCGCCACGGTCAAGGGCAAGTGGCGTCGCTTAGAGAGGGGCGTGCCAGTAGCTCAGTTGAGAACAGCGAGAAGTCGGGAGTTCATGAGTTGTCGAGTGGAAAGACCGCATATGCAACTGCATGTTACCCATAAACCCAACGTACCGAACATATTCCTACTTCTAGATGCATGGAACTCTCAATATTTAATCTGAGCTTTTTTAAATAACGTCTAGATATTTGGTACATTTCATCTTTGGAATTCATCCAAGTATTCAGCAAATTTTATTATGATTCAAAACTTATTCTATCCCTGAAAGTACATTCGCCAGTTACCATAAAGGCCAGCTTGGGAACTCAAATATGCGCCGAGTTTTTGATATGGAATAGTTTAAGCTCTCCAGAATTGGGTCCAATCTTAAAGAAAAAGTATATGTGAAGAGCACTCTCTGTCCACTCTCGTTAAAATTGGGTCCAAATCTAAAGTAGTCAGATATGATGATTCTTTTTCCCTCTTGATTCTCCCTGGGAGGTCTGAACTACCTCCCTTCCAGCTGGGAGGATCAAGCTGTCTTTAAAGAGCTCCGAATTGCAGCTGGAAGTAGGGATATCGTGATACAATGTCTGCTCTGACTTAGTACGCCAGTTTTGGTCGTCCTCAAGAAGCAGGGCCAACCTCTTTCGCCATAGCCGTGCCTTCTCCTTGCGGAACGGCAACCGCTGTGCCACGCGTTCTATTCCTTCTTTGCTGTAAACATCCCGATTCGTCTTACAATTTAAAAATGGCTCAGTCACTGCCTGATTCAGGTTCTGGAAATGTTCCACGATCCGTTGCATACGCATCTCGATCTCGATAACACGCTGAAGGGTTTGATTCATGTTTTCAGATACGTCAATATAAATCATGCTTGGGACTCGAAATTCCAGCGATTAGAAATTAGAAAATTGTTAAATTTTACGGATGTTTGCCAAAATTTGTGCTAACGTTATTGTTTTTTTCTTTCTGTTAACTAACGTTACATTGACTTGTGCTTGTGAAATGAATTATGTGATGACACGTAGCTCTAAGTCGCTTTGTGGTTGACTAAAATGTGTGGGTTTACTATGCTCTGAGAGCGATAGAGACTTATACAAATATTTAAATGATGCACGTATTTTGAAGCACGTATACATGTATACATGTATGTTTTGTTTGTATACATGTATGTGTGCAATATGTTTTACATGTTTTAAATCTCACCCTTCTTTGCGATTCTCATGAATTCAAGTAAAGTTTAAAGGCATTCACGCTTGAATTATAAGTATTTTATTAACAAGCTGTATTGATAATCAAAAAAATCTCTCTCTCTCTCTGTTTCTCTCTCTTTTCTCTTTATGCACTATTTCTTTTTCTCGCTCTCTCTCTACGGCCTTTGCCCCTATGCACTTTCTTTCTTCCGCTCTCTCTCTCTCTCTCTCTCTCTCTCTCTCTCTCTCTCTCTCTCTCTCTCTCTCTCTCTCTCTCTCTCTATCTTTCACTCTCTTTATCTCTCTTTCTCGCACTTTATTGTTTTATTGCTCTATCTTTTGCCAGCTCCTATTTTAATGCGCTTTCTATTTTATATGTTTTTCAGTGATGTGTTTATATAAAATTACTGAAAGATGTCAATAAACTAATTGTCCGTGGGGATCCGAGTTCAGGGGTAAGTGCCTTTTTATTTTACATATATTTTATGCAAAAGCTACTGCAAAGGAGGCTCAAGGGGTCCGAAGAACCACAAGTCATAGCTAAGAAATAATTTGCTCCTATTCGAAATGTCTGCTTGAATGCTTAAATGTCCACTCTGAAGAATTTGGACAATCAATCTTGATCTATTCTATCCCCATTTGACCCATAATCAGCTCTCAACTAATTAAGAAACGGAAATGCCACAAAGATGTTATTGATTATGTTGAGAAATGACAGGACAAGCTTTCAGCTTTTGGTGACATCGACATTTGGTAATTAAAATTAATTTTCGCAAAAAAAAAAAACCTAAGTGAGGCCCCAGTGTACTATCCGAGCGATCCGACTGCATTCAAGTCGGTCAGGCCGGCAAGCCGTGAAATCTAGTTTTCCCAGTTCGGAATGATAAATGGCGTCTAGTTAGCGTAGCGCCAAAAGAGAAACAAGTTCACTGGCTGCTGCTTTATATACCCCCGACCCCCCTACTATTCAACTCTCTGCCGATCTGTTTTATGCCCTGCATATAGCGCATAGGGTTGCATAGCCTATCCGCATGAATGCCTGGCGATTTGAGAGAGAACTTGAAGATCTCAAATCTGAATTACAAATCTGGGTTTTGAGATACAAACACCTTGGCATAACATCAGCATATTTTGAAAATCACAATACAATCAACAGTTATTCAAGTTCGCTTCATATGGAGTACAGGGTATCTGCTAGCTGATCAACATTAATTGGTTAAGCTGGCTACCTGGTTTGAGTATGTGTTGTATTTCAATTAGAGCAAAAGTCGTCCTCAACTGCAATTAGCAACAAAGTATCTGGCAATGTATGTTTTCGCTATTATCATTTAAATTTATGTTATGGTACTACATATATTTGTTACGGCCCACTCTCTCACTCCAGCTCCCCGCTTCCCGCTGCCCGCTCCCCAGAGTGCAGAGCCGCTGGCATACCTTACGATTATGGCCAGCGTTGGGTAATTTGTTAGGAGCCGGCCGATGCAGTCAGCCAGATAAAATGCAACCTGGTCTGCGGCTGGCTGCGGCACGGCGAGCATTCAATGAAAATTAACTAGGGACAAATTGTTTGAGCCTGCTCGTGGGTTCGGACCACAAGATCGGTAGCCATTGGTTCGATGCCATTGGACGCTTAACGGCTGCTGCTGGCCCGGACAGTCTGCCAGCTGAGCCTTGTAGTTATCATTGGGTCTTGTTTGTTGGCCAAATTATAGCTCTACACCGGGCATATTTAATACGGCTATGGGCAATAGTTGGGCTTTAGAGGCACAAGTATTATCATTCTTGCGCATATGTTTATAGGAAACGCTTCTAATCACAGTATTCGGGCAGAAGTATCTCGTATTCATATGCTTTTGGCATTGAGTAATAAGAATACATAGCCGAAGATTCTCTTCAAAGCTCTTTCTTTCTCGGAATACTTGTCTAATTTAAATACTTAATATGTGTTCGCCATATTCAAGATCCTACTCCCTACCGCATTTAATCTCTCGTGAGAGTAATTCTGTTTCTAGTTATGAATAAGAGCCAAAGATTTGCTCAACTACTCGAAAGATGTTGGGACTTATAAGAGAACTTTTCCCTATCGCATTTACTCTCTCGTGAGAGTAATTGAGTTTTTAGTTATAAATTAAGAGCCGACGAATTGCTCAAAAACTCTTTCTGAAAATACTTAACTAATTTGTCTGCTCAATGTATGTTGGGCATATAAGAAAGCTTCCTTTCTCTCGAGTTATTAACCTTCTAGTTTTGTTACTCACTTGTCAAATACATTAAGCTTTGGATACCTAGCGAGAATTTTTAAGTTTTCAGCTCTGTAAGGCTTATCTGAATTAAAGGTTTCTCTCTTCTTAATGCAAGCCTGTTGCAAGTTGCAAGTTGCATGGGCACTTTGTGTCCGCCTGTTGCCATCTTTTTTGCTGTCCTCATCATCCCTGCTGTCGCTGGCTCGGATCCTGGCTCTTGCTCTTTTAATAAATGAAAATGTTTTTAATTAATATGCTTCAATATGTCGAGTGCGGCACTTTACTTTATGCAGCACAGTCAAGCCTACCACCACACAGATCCCTTCCCTTGGCTCTGCACACCCCCCTTTGCCCAGCACATTTCGCTTTATTATTCAGAGCAAGCGCTTGTGTGAGGGGCGCCTTCGTTTTTATTGTTTGATATTTATTCGTACAAGCCCGTAGGCTAAATTTCAATATATTATTTACATGCAAACATACATCCTCTTACACACAAACACACATGTGTGTTAATACCAATGTACAGTAAGAATCCTTCGCTCAAGCATGCAACAAAATAAATATCCGACTCGCCCCCCTTCCACTCGCTGCAGCTCACGCTCTTTGTTAAGCTTTTGCAGCCCGCAGTTATTTTGTAGCTTTTGTTGATGTCGCTCAGTGGCCAGCGGCAACGTTTTGTTGCTTTTGTTTTTATTTTCAATTATTCAATGCGTAGACTGCGAGCTAAAAGCGAAGCAGCGTAATTGTATGTGGTGTCTATTTATAGACATTGCAGTGCATTTGATTTGCTTTGCCTTGTGTGAGGTTCGTTTATTTGGTGTGTAGATTGTAAGATACAGAATTGTCTTTTTTTATTGGCTTGATTTTTGTTGAGCTTTTTGGCCGGCTAATTCAACCATCCCATATTGTCTAGTGGTTAGGATACCCGGCTCTCACCCGGGAGGCCCGGGTTCAATTCCCGGTATGGGAAGTAGTGATCTTCATTTTTTTTTTCAATTTTATTATTATTTTTTTTTTTATCAAATACGTTCCAGATTTCTGTGTTTAGGTAATTAAATAAATTTTCATATATTTTCCTCCAATTTAATGATTTAAGATCTGCTAAAAACTAATTAAGAGAACTTAATAACTACTTATTAACGGATATGCATTGACTTAAAGAATAGGTTATATGGGATTTAAAATAATTTGAGTATAATTGTTTTTTGTAAAGGCTAACTTGTCTAAAGCTTAAATTGAAAAGCAGCTTAAAACAAAATCCAACATAAAGCAATGCCTCATGACTGCACCAATGCTAATTTGCTTTAATATAAGCAAATACGTATGTTTATATGTAGAGAAGTCCAGCCAAGTTTTAAGCTAGCTGATGAATGGCTTACCCTGTTCCACAGACTGAGCAACAGCTACGACGAGACGGTCTGTCGATGGGCTTGTCCACTTCATTTCGAAGGCTTGGAGGAGTCTGGTCTGGGGGGAGTTTGGCAATTTTATCGTTGCAAATTGCAATCATATATCAATATTAATATGCTTGCGGCATTTGTGATTTAGACAATCTGAAGTTACTTTGCGTTTTCAAATGCTTTTCGAGTTTCTATTCATTGACCGCAGCACCCTTGTTATGCCGAACATATGCACACTGCAATCTCTCATTTCCGGAGTTTTATTTTGTTGAGCTCAACCCTGCGTTGGATTTGTGCGAAACAAACCGCAAACTTCATTTACAAAATGGCCATTCATTTGAGAATGGTATATATATACACATATATATGTATAGCTTTATCAGGCAATTTTATTTAAAAATGCAAAAGCCTTTGTGCACGCGTTGTTTTTGTTGTTGCAATTGACTCCTGACTACAACATGCATTAAAATTGGCAATCGCCTCTGTGCGGTTGAATTGCTGACAACATGCTGCATGGCCAGTGCCACACCTGACGCACCACCCGCACCACCCACACCACCCACACCACCCGCATCACCCACACCAACTGCATCACCTGCTGCTGACCAGCAGCCTGCTCTCAACTTCATTAGGTGTAGCCTGTCGTTGGAGGACATGAAAAGGTATATCAAAAGGCAGCTGCCTGCTTTTACGGGGATACAGGGATACAGGATGCTATCGTAAGCAGCAGGCACATATGTACATATGTACATGCATACAAGCTGCTGCACATGCATGCATAAAAGGAACTACACTTGCCCGTAATTCATGTATTCAGATAGTGTGTCCAATTGTCAATTACACCAGCTAAACTTTGCTAGCAGAAGTAAATTATTAAACTGTGAGAATATAATGCGTATTTTAGTATTTAGTCTAGCCAAATTTTTCCGAGTGTATTGCCGTGTGACAACCCCCTATTGTGGGTTGCACTCGGGTTTTTGGCTGCGCTTTAAGTCTGTTGCATTTTTTGGCAATGTGAGCTGAGGGTGGGGCAGCGTGTGTGTGCGTTTGTGTGTGGGTGGCTTTAGTGGGAGGCGCTGCATCCTTGCATTCAGCTCTGCTGACGGCTCTCGCTGCTTACTCGCTGCCTCTTGATTGTCCCCCTGTGACTGCTCGGGCGCATTTGCA